CCACCACCCCAGGGACTCCGTTCCACCATTTTCTCAATCGGAACCAGGTTAATAGGCCTTTCCAATGGAATTTCGGTTTCCTTAGCCTTTCATCCCAGGTGCGCGAAACAGCGAACCTTAAAGTCGCCGCCAATGAGGCCGCCGTGTCAACTTTAGGCCCAGGCTCTCATCAAGTCGATTTAGGCCCAGCCGCGTCACCCTGACCGAAATCCCTTTTCCAGGAGCCGAATCACTTCGCTGGGGTCCATTGAGGACACCACGTCCGGCAACGTGTTTAGAAAGAAGTCTGCAAGGACTTGGTTGAGGAGGTTTGGAAGGTCTCCTCTTCCTCTCATCCCAGTGCATCATGTCCCATCTGATAGAGAGCGCCTCTTGCTCATCCATAGTATTGGTCGGTGATGGTGGCTTGTCCGGACATCCCCCGCAGGAAGTCCGCCATGAGCACCTTCGCTTCAGGCTGGCCCTTTTCCAGCTGCTTGCGTTGGTACTGATGGTCGAGTTGATTGACGTGCGTCAAAAGCTTGTCTTTCCACATTGTGTACGACTTGCCCTTAAACTTCTCGAGTCCACCGCCAGACTTAGCATCGGTGGACATCGGAGTACTTGAAATGTTGCGTACAGCTGTAGGTAGTTGTTGATCTAGGCCGTCAGTTTTGGAAGTGAGATGGCATCGGCCATCTCTCCATTACATCCCTCGGCTTCACCTATCTTAGTGATGGGGCACGCGGCCTCTTTCTTCTTGAATGGCTAGGATGAGTTGCTGCCATCGCAACCAATAGCAGAGAGCTACACCATTATTGACCTATCATTTTACTTCATTTCTCTGCATACAAAATGAATGATATTGCGGCACAACAGGGTCTGTTGACCGCTTTAAGGCTAGGCTGGTTGTTCAGGGTAACACACAGCTATATGGCATCGACTACAAGGAGGTATTCGCTCCCATGGCCCGCTATGAGTCTTTGCGGGTGCTGTTGGCATTGGCCACAATTCTAGGACTGGAGCTACACCAAATGGATGTATCTACAGCCTTTCTAAATGGTATCCTACATGAAAGTATCTATATGAGGCAGCCATTGGGATTTCGTCATGGCACTGGCCACCTTGTATGTAGGTTGAAGAAAAGCCTGTATGGGTTAAAACAGGCACCCAGAATCTGGTATGCCGTTCTAAATGATTTTCTTACCAGCTTAGGAATTTTTAAGATGCAAGAAAGAACATTGCTTGTATCTAAAACGGTGGGATATCAAAGGGATTGAACACATTCTGATCATATGTCGTCTATGTTGACCACCTGACAATTGCGGGCTCACATCTGAGCTCGATCAGCGATCTGAAGGCTAAACTGTCTGCAAAGTTTACAATGAAAGACTTGGGCGAGTTGCATTACCTGCTAAAAATGGAGATCAAAAGAGATTCACAAAAGAAAACACTCAGAATCTCACAGCAGAAGTACATCAACGATCTTCTGGTAAAGGATCAAATGCGAGACTGTAGTACAGAACCCACACCACAAGCGAAAAGTGTTATATTAGAAAAGGAAAAGGATATGAACCCAGAACAGATAGCGGCCCAACCATTCGATTACAGAGGTTTAGTGGGTTCACTGATGTATCTTGTCCGAGGTACTAGACCTGATATTGCTAATGCTGTAAGAGAGCTTAGTAAATATCGATCTTGCTATAATAAGACCATTGAAGGGCGGCTCAGCGAGTACTAAAGTACTTGAAAGGAACGTCGAAGTATGGCATTGAGTACAATGGAAATAGTACCACTAAGTTAGAGCTATACACAGACGCGAGCTTCGCGAATGCATCGGAAGGAAGGAAGTCAATCACAGGATATGTATCAATACTTGCTGGTGCATGCATCTCTTGGAAAAGCATTAAGCAAGATTGTATTAGTATTCATACAGCAGAATCTGAATTAGTAGCCGCTAGTGAAGGTGTTCGAGAGGCGATGTGGTTGAGTCTACTATTGAAAGAATTAGGCTACGGCCAAGTACTATCCACCCAATGCTGGTGTGATAATACTGCCGCAATAAGTATCATTAAGGATCCTTGCAGTCACTCATCTACCAAGCACATTGATATCAGGCATCTGTATGCCGTGACAAACATGAGGACAAAAGTATCATTGTGAATTACTGTAGCACCAACGACATGGTGGCTGATGCCCTTACGAAGCCATTAAGCCAAACACAGTTTGAAAAACTCATGATGGGGATAAAAGAGTTGGGTTAATCATCAGCCTCCAATTTAGTTTTACGCCTCAAATAAGGTTAGGTCCCTCAAATAAAAGATTGACGGTCATTTGGTGTAAACACAAGTTCTTGTCAATTTAAGAGAATTATTAAGACGTTTAGGAAAAGGATTACAGTAAAGGAAGGCCTTAAGGAAAGGGTTCTGGTTACAGACTAGTTTTAAGGTTAAAATCTTAAGTTTAATGGTCACCTAGCCCTAAGTTTGGAAATTGAACAGGTCCAGGCTATTAGCCACTTGACTTGAGTACATTTTACTCAAACTTTCGGTTAATTTCACTCCTGACTCTCTCAATTCCCGCCGCTGAAAGGCACAACTGGTCTAAGACTAGACACCCACGAGTAGCCGAATGATCGGACTTTCTACTTGCAGAGCTCACATCATGGGCGCTTGGCTGACCGTTTGAGGTGCCAAAAGGCGGGGACCTGAATGGCCGCTGTGGCTTAGGCCGGTCTGCTG